CACACACACACACACACACACACACACACACACACACACTCACACTATTAAAAAGGAAAAATGGTGTGATAGTAGTGTATGGTTATAATCATACCACTCAGAAGCCACATGTCGACAAGAGGAAGAATTTCAAGATCATCCTAGACTACTTAACAAGTCAAGGACAGCCTGTGCTATAGGAGACCCTTCCTTAAGCAAACAAAAAGACAGCCAGATTCAGTGGATTAGGATTATAGTGTCATCATTCACAAGCTGGGGGCAGGAGTATTACCACAAGTTTGATGTCAGCTTGGGATATCCATTGAGTCCCAGGACAGCCTAGGCTACAGAGTTGAAATCTTCTCTCATGAGCACAGAGAGAAGAAGAGACAGAGACAGAGAGACAGAGACACAGAGAGAGCTTTGGTTAGGCAAAGAGCTTAGTATTTTATGAAACAGACTAGCTCCGTATTCCTTTCTTTGTTTTGTACCACACCGAATCAGCCTAAGCCCACAGGAGTGCACTCCCTTACTAGATTTGCAAATCTTCTACAATAGCTCTGAACATTTCCCCTCCTTTATTGATGAATATCAGTATTGTGAGAGGTCTTATTGAGAGGTCTTATTGGCAACCACTCTCTTTTAAGTAAAAGGCCATGCTTCTTTTTCAGGGATAAGCCTTCTCTATTCCCACTGATTCTGTTTCTCCTTGATGTTCTGTGCACATAGATACATTAGCCATTAGCCGTCTTACTGTAGTTTCTCTAGCCCGTCGTGTGTGGATCATTTCAGGACTCCATCCTAAAATATCTGAACTGGAATTCTGTTTCCTCCTCCAACTGTTTACCTGGCTCTTTTCCTTGGACAGACAAACCAAAGTTACATTTGTTTCCTACATTTTTCGTTCATTTCTTAATTCTTCAATCTTCTTTATTATTTCTTCTGTCTTTATAAACATCCTTCCATTCCTCTTGTTAGGTCTCAGGTGTTCGCTAGTTAAAATCTAGTTCCATTCAGTACTTACCATCTCTCTCTTCTGCAGCATTGGACTCTGTTGGTCACCTTTGTTCATTGAAACCAAGGCTTCTCTTCATTTTCTGATATTCCATTCTCTCTACTTTATGCCACTAGTTTTCTTTTTTATTTACTTGTCCTGCCATCCTTTGTAAAGCATTTGATGTTTTCTCCACCTACAGTCTCCAGTTTCAGTAGTCATCTTTTCTTTCTATGTCCTCTCTCCATTAGTAAATCTACTCCTGTGACTTCAATGACTGCCTATATACAGGTAGCTTCCTTTCTGAAATCTAGATCTATATAGACTACCGGCTACTGCACATTTGCCTATCAAAATCAAAATGGTCACCAGTGAAGCCATTGTCTTTATTCCTGCAACAGAATAGAGTAACCTTTCAGCTTATCCCATGGAAATAAACTTTTGATATTCTGGGGTTTGGTAGGCACTAGCATCATTAATAAAAGATACATATTATTTACTTTCAAAATGCCTGCAGTAGTTAAGAGGGCTCTTTTAGATTATATGAGTTTGGAACCTGGCTAAAATTCTTTTATAAACTTCATAATTTGTGGTAAAGGAATTGATCTTTCTCTCCTTTAGTTTCTTCATATATGTGATAAAGGCAATAATAGTACATACCTTATTGGATTGCTAAGAGGATCCAAGGAGCTAATACAAAGTATAGCAATTTACAATATTATACACATCAAGTTAGTAAAAGTTTGACGTTACTGATTACTCTTTCAGTCCACGGGAAAACACTCTGACCTCAGGCCAATATGTAGCAGTGTAAAATCTGAGAAAACTATAGATAGCACATCTTGTAAATAGTTCTGTTTTGTTTTAATGATGAATTACCTAGATTTCTATAAAGTCTTACAGTAGAGTTGTTTACAGAAGCAAAGTGATCCATATTGCCACAGTCTACTGCCAACTGCCAGAGTCCATCGCTGACACAGAATGACTTCAAAGGAAAAGGTCACAAGTGTCATCATTTTCCCACATAAAATCACACCTGAAGAGAGAAAATCTGGATTGGAATGTTGAAAATGCTGCTGTTGGGAGACCCTGGTCTGCACCTCTATCTGTAAACATACTGAAGGGAGAGCAGGGCAGGGTTTCCCATACAGGAGGCACAGGCTACCATCTCTTGGCAAAATGGTTGATGAGAACTCACTTTCCATGCTGGAGTCTACACGAGCATTTCAGTGCTTCTTGAACCTTCAAGTGACCTGCTTTGAAGAAGAAATTCATCCTTGATAATTCTCTTTAGTTAGTTATTGAAATGTCCTTACTGTTGATGTAAAAAAATTGTTTTGAATGAGCCTCCTCCCTGATTTACTCTTTCTCTCTTACCTACACACCCCTCACCTGTATTATATACTATGTATATGTACTTTTATATATAAATGTAGATTTGTGATTACTCTATATATGCCATGTTTAAAAACTGAGTCTTCAAATTATGTTACTTTGTGTTGTAAAATGTTCTTATACACATTATCATTCTAATGACAGACTAGTTGAAGTTTATGTTGGTTTTCATTTATTTCATTTTTGTGAAAAAGGCAATGTTCATGTCAAAATGTGAATGACATCCTTGTCTAGTCCAAGCACTTGAATCACCAAGTAAACTATTAGGAAACTGAATAGTTAACATTCATGTTTTTCTTGCATGTTATGTAGGCATCTGTATCCTATCCATGTATATAACAGTTACATATGTGTCTAAACTAATATTGATAATATTTCTACATTGATTTTCATATTAGATTGCTGGAACTACCTTGTGAGATTAAGCAGGCAAGAGGATATTACTGTGTCCTTGCCAGTGTGTAACCTTGCATTCTGACAGCTGTTTCCTAGAGGATGTAATTACATGAATAGATTGGAAGTGGAAAGGTTATAATTTAGAATTTGGTACCAAATCTTCTGATGCCATGCAGTTTTCTTTTGGGGACATTTCCTAGTATTCTACCTTTTCCACCTTATTTTAGTGTTGCTTTTTAAAAAACCCTTGTTCGAATTTTCTTTTTTCTTTATATTTCCATTTTTATTTAAATTAGAAACAAGATTGTTTTACGTGTCAATACCAGTTGCCTCTCCCTACCATCCTCCCCTGCCCCCCCAACTAACACCCTACCTATCCTATACCTTTTCTGCTCCCCAGGGAGGGTGAGGCCTTCCAGATCTCTGAGGATCTTCAGAGTCTGTCATATGCTTTGGGATAGGGCCTAGGCCTTCCCCTGTGTGTCTAGACTGAGGGAGTATCCCTCTATGTGGAATGAGCTCCCAAAAGTCAATTCCTATGCTACAGATAAGTACTGATCTACTACAAGAGGCCCCATAGATTTCCCAGGCCTCCTCATTGACACCCACATGCATGGGGTCTGGATCAGTCCTATGCTGGTTTCCCAGCTATCAGTCTGGGGACCAAGAGCTCCCTCTTGTTCAGGTCAGCTGTTTCTGTGGGTTTCACCAGCCTGGTCTGGACCCTTTTGCTCATCACTCCCCCTTCTCTACAACTGAATTCCCGTTCAGTTCAGTGTTTATCTGTAGGTGTCTGCTTCTACTTCCACCAGCTACTAGGATGTAGGCTCTAGGATGGCATATAAGTTAGTCATCAATCTCATTATCAGGGGAGGGTATCTAAGGTAGCATTTCAGCTATTGCTTAGATTGTTAGTTGGGGTCATCCTTGTAAATCTCTGAACATTTCCCTAGTGTCTGATTTCTCTTTAAACCTATATTGGCTCCCTCTATTATGGTGTCTCTTATCTTGCTCTCCTCTATTCCGCCCCCCCACCCCGAACTCAACCTTCAAATTTTCTTACTACACATTTTTCAGACCATCTTGTGGGAGAACTATGGTTTTCATCAATGTCTTCATGAATAGAAAAGTGAATGTGGCTCGATTCTAACAAAAATACATCTTTACTTTTAGAATACAAATGTGCCAGCCACTAATTTTAAGGGGAAACACTCTTAGATGTTGTTGGATCCTTATTAATTACACTCATGTGGTACTAGGGCTTCCCAGGCTTCTATTAAGAACAAGAGTATCAATTGCTAGATGACCAGTTCTGAGTGAATATAGACAGCTGCCATCCCGATGCTGAACATCATGATTTCAAAATGTGAATAGTTAAGAAAGACAGTAATTTCATCCATATAATAGGACAAAAAAAAAAAAAAACGTTAGGGCAGCAACTTAAAATGGCAATGCAGGTTAATGTAAACAACTAGTAATGTGGACCACTTTATCCTTAATTACTCCTTAAATACCCCTTGGTTATCCCTTAATTACCTGTGAAACAGATGATCATGTAACTTGTGGCCCTGCACTAGCACAAATTCAGTTCCTAGAATTAGTGTTCAGCCTTTTGATTTCACAGCAGAGTGTCATTTCTTCAAATTTTAAGATAGTGCCACTTGCTGCCCTCCCTTATCTCAGTGCCTAATTAAACAGTAGTTAGGCACATACTTTTTTTTTTCCTATTTTACATGAGGGTAAAAAAAGGGACTTCTGTTTACGGTAGTTGAATAATACTCCATTCCAGCTAAACTGCCTTCATTTAATGAACATTCAGAGAATACTTAAGCATAACCCAGTGCAACACATTAGCCTGCTGCAGATTCTTCATAAACAGCAGACTTAACCAGTTCCTCCGCTTAGAACCTGTGTTTGGACATTCGCTACACTATGTTCTGTGCTTGTATATTTGCAATAGCAAACTAAGAGTGTAGATTCTAGAGGCGCAACTTTGAAGGGTTTACGATCTCTTCCGAATTACTTTTTCCTAGTTATTTTGAAAATGTGCAGTAACCCTCTCACTGGTTAACCCTGCAAACCACACAACAATGATTGCAGTAATTACTAAGGTTGATGGAGAGGGCATAGGATGTTACTAGCTTAATTACAGAGTAGATCAAGAATAGTTTGGGATCATAAGGATCAGAATATTATTGGCTGTCTCTGTCCCTGTGTCTCTGTCCCCTCCCTCTCTCCATTGTTCTTGGTCCTTCTACCACTATTTATTTTAAAAGAAGGTAAGTTTTTTTTTTCTTGACCCTATGTGAGAAACCCTCCTGTTATTTCCTAAGTGCCAAATGTTCTATAACTAGCCATCTGTGGATATTTTATTTTTTCAATTTACTTTTTATTAGCCCTCCCCCCCACACACACATGCACACATACAGTAGTATTTGAAGATCAATGAGCTACTGGTCTCTCTTAAAATTTCTTGTTGTTCAGCTGAACTTTATCGTTTTCTTTTCCCAACAATTTCTCTTAGAATCACATAAGGAAATTAATTGTCCTGAAACAAATGATGTAGCTTTAGGAGACATGCGCCAAGGTCAAATATATAACATTTCAGGCCTTACAAATAATTGGGAATATCATTGCACTTCTGAGGGGCCTGAACAACAGGAAATGTTAAGATAGGCTTTGCCGTTACTGTCTTCAAGGATCTGTGCCCGCAATGTTCTGTTTCATTGTCTCCAGAGGCCTGCAAGCCACAGAAGTCTTTGCACTTCTGTGCATCAGTGCCACAGATTGCTTTTCTAGTTACTACTTCCTGGAGAATTTACCAACTGAAGAGATTGTACCATTGAGCCAAAATGGACTACTGAGCAGCCATACCATTTTATTTATTCATCAGTAGAGCTATTTGAGAAGATGCTGTAGTTTTGGGGTTGTTCTAAGTAAAACTTAATTAGACTCGGAGATGATCAAATGGGACAAAGAATTCCCCAAGAGTAAGGTGCTGTGGGACTTCCTATAAAGTTTTCCCGCTGTGACACTGGAATGATGTAAAGTGAAGACTTGAAAATACAGACCACATCAGCCATAGTTTATTTTAGAAATTGGATTTGGACTTTATGGTGGTGACCAAAAGTAACCATTTCCATTCTAATTAAAGAAATATCTCCCTGTTCAATGAAATGGGAGATTCATTGTTTATTGATAAGATTGTCTACCCCATATGTCTATATATTTATTATATGCTTTCCCTGTAGAGAGTGAGGGTCATTAGGGATGACTTGTTTAGTATTTATTCCATTTCCAGTCTCAAAATTTGAGTGGATGTCTGAATGCAAAATTTGAATTTCTAGTTTGTGGTGGAGATATAATGTGCACTCTGTTATGATGTGGCTGTTATGTAGATTTGTCCTTCCTTGAAATTTAGTAGACACATTACAATGATATGTGCATAAATAAACTAGATAATTTTAACTGCTTTGTGAATTTTGTTGAGCTATTGAGCTCAGGATTGATTAGAAGCAATTGGTGGGGAATTGTGATTTATATCTGTAGAAAAAAATTTCATTCCAGCCTGGCTTAGCCTTACCTTATTCCATCCTGGCTTAGCCTTACCATAGTTCCAAATACGCTTTCCTGGCTGAGGAAATCAGAAAGATTTGATCATCTTAATATTTACCTAAACAAAATATGATTTAGAAGATTGATTCCTTCCCTGAATACCATATTGCACAACACAGAACACCAAGAGAAATCCAGTTGAGGCAATTTGTACTCTTGAAGAACTCATGCTGATGTTTTCCACTCCATTAGCCTAGAATTTAGCCTTTGGGAATGAATGGAAAGGGACTCATCTTACCCAAGCTGCTACTCCTTCCAAAGCACAGGTAGTTTAGAACCCTGAATAAAGCTTTGGACCAGATAATAAACATGGAAATAACCCAAGTGCAGAGCCTTCTAGAGCATAGGGGCATCATTCCAACTCGTATGTTGCCTGCTTGCTGGTGAAAAGCACCCAGCAGCTACCCAGGAGAAATTGGTCTTCAAGCCACAGCTGATGCCTCTTTGGACCTAGAGAGAATGAAACCTTGCTGAAAGCCTTTCCCTCCTTCTTAATGATTCTACATTAGCACACCGAGGTTGTTATTGCAGAACAGATTAGAAACAATTAGCAATGGAATGACTGAAGAGGCTCTTGCTGCTTTTAGTGTTTACAAGCATCTTTTGAACAGAATCAAAATGCTCAGATGTGTATCTGAGTTTCATGTTTTAGCTCTCTCGTGGATAAGGATATAATATATATTGCTGATGTCTGTGTTTAATTTCAGATGCTTTTAAAGAGGCATTGTCTAGTAAGCTAATTTTCTCATGTTGAACAGTATGTGTTAA